ACACTGGGGAGGGATGACATATTCCCTACTTCCAGGTGAAGCAGGTGCTCTAGAAGCCCCCTTGGCACCAGCAGCCTTGGCGGTCTGCGTGGGGAAGCCTCTGGGAACCCCATGGAAAGTCAGTTCCAAGTCCTCAGGCTCACTTCGCTTTGTTGGGGGACAGAAGGGAAAGGTGAACACGCTCCTTGCTGACAAGCCAGAGCCTTCCATCCCCTTGGCCAGGGCACCTCTCTGCCCAAAGCCCGTCCAGTCCTCACGGGAAAGGGGGAAGGAAGCTCTGACCCAGGCCACACGTGGACGGGCCCAGTCTCAGACACCACACATGGAACCTCCTTTCTAGGAATCACCCAGGACAGGCAAATCCAGAGAGCAGACAAGTGGCTGCAGGGCTGGGGGCCAAGGAGTGAGTGTCATGGGGCTTCTTTTTAGGGAGGGAGAGAGTAGTTAGGTTTATTTATTTGCTTGCTTTTTTAATGGAGGCACTGGCGATTGAACCCAGGACCTCATGCATGCTAGGCACGTGTTCTACCACTGAGCTCTACCCTCCTCCACGGGCCTGTCTTTTGAGGGTGATGCAAGATGTCCTGAAAGTAGGCACACGAGATGGTCACACAACATCGGGAATGTACCAGATGCCCCTACACCGTTAACATGGAGATGCTGAACTTCTCTCTAGCGTTGTCTGTCTCTGTTTAACTGTGATGAAACGCATGCCATGACGTTCACCATCCTAACCATTGTTAACTGTACAGCTCAATGGCATTAAGTACATTCACACTGTTGTGCCACCACCACTACCATCTCTAGAACTTTCTCTTCTTTCCAAACTGAAACTCTGTTCCCACTAAACACTGACTCTCCCCACCCCAACCCTTCCACATTCTGTCTCTGTGAATCTGACAGCACTAGGGGTCTCATATAAGCGGAATCATAGAATATTTGTCTTTTTGTGTCTGGCTTATTTCACTGAGTGTAATGTCCTCAAAGTTCATCCACAGTAGTCTATGTCAGAATTTCCTTCCTTTTTAAGGCCAACTAATATTCCACTGTATGAACGTACCACATTTTACTTATTTTAAAACAGAATTTTATGGTATGTGCATTACATCCCAGTAAAACTGTTGCTTAATATTTAGAACAAAGAACGCAGCCACGGAAGCCCACACACTGTCAAGAAAACATCAGACAGACACTGGTCCCAGCCTCTCAGATCTGGTATCAGGGAAGCCTATGGTTTCATCCATGTAGATTCTGGTCAACATTTGCCAGGGTCTCTGTGCCAGGCCGCCCCTCACCCTGCGTTGGGGCACCTTGCGACAAATGGGACAGAGGTCCATCGCACTTACATCTAGAATGTCCATGCGCTGCCGAAGGCTGTAGTTGAGGGCGTAGAACTGTGTGGTCAGGTACTCTGCCACCTACACCAGGCAGACAAGAGACCACTGTAGGCCACAACCCAGAGGCAGGGCCCCAGTGTAGGCACTACCTGGGAGCACAACGCACACCACACAGCTGCAAGGACTCACCCGCACCGGGTCTGTGACTGTGACTGCCACCAGGGCCCTCTGGCGCAGCCCCTCGAATCCTGCCACACCCGTCTTCTCCTCCAGGTGCAGTAGCACCTTGGCCAGCTCCACACTCACCTACACACAGGGGTCAGGGTACACAACAGAAGGCACTCATCTCAGAGAGCCGGGGCCTCTGCACCCTCCACCTCCCACCAAGCCAGAGGCCCTGCCACCAAGGCATATGCGAGCCAGATCTGCCGGGACACGTCCACACCAAGATGCCCACCTCCCGTGACCCTAACAGCCTGGCCCCGACTCGTTCACCTCCTGAGTGGCAGCTGGGCTCCTGAAGATCAGCCCCTCAAGGGCCCACAGGGTTGCCTCCCAGCGTTCCCAGTTCTCGGACGTGGTCAGAGCTGCACAGAACCCAGATGGCCTCCGTCAGCGCCTGCGTGATGCAGAGCAGGTGGCCAGGGTCTGGGCACTGGGCAGAAGGCAGAAATGGGACAGGACAGTTCCCACCCTGGGCCAGCCTCCCAGGCCTTGGGGAGGGCGCACCTTCCACGCAGTCCCGCACGTACACAGGTGCCTTGCTGCTCCTCAGCTCTGTGTCCCCCGACATGTCGTAGGGGACAAACTCGTCGTCGCTGAGGAAGAAGCACAGCCATGCGGGACTCACGGGTCACCCAGAGAGCAGAGGGAGCCAGTTGGCTCCCAACCAGTTGGTCCCACCAGCGCCCTCGTGCTCAACCTGTGGGGCTGCCCCCTACCTGTCCAGCTCAGAGTCGGAGCCCTCTGACTGAGCCTGGGGGCCACCGCTGCTCACCGTCTCCTTGTTAGGGGTCTCTGCGGTGACTGGAGCAACAGGCGGGCTTTGGGGACAAAGACGGACCCTTCAGGGTCACCCCAGGAGTTTCTGATCCCAGAACCCAAGCTTCCTCAGGAAATGTTCTCACCACCCCCACCCTCGTCTTAGCTTCTGTCTCAGTGACAATAAGATAGGAGTAACAGGTGTGCAGGAGCCAGCCAACCATGCCCAGAGCTCCAGGTGGGTACCAGGGGGCACGGAGACCCTCACCCTGCCTCCGAGGGGCTGTTAGCCGCAGGCTGTGGGGTGGCCAAGGCCAGGAGCTCACGGGTCAATTCATCCTCTTCATACTGTGACACAGATGAAGGAAGAGGACTGGGACGGGAGCAACTGGAAAAGCACCGCCAGGCCCCTCCAAGGCTCCCCCATCACAGCTTCTGGCAGCCAGTGGCCTTTCAAGAGCAACTGTCAAAGTGTCCCCCTCCGCAGAGGGTGGCACTGGGGGGCTGAAGGCTGGAGGGGCCACACACCTCCTGAGGGAGCTGGGAATACCCTGGAGACACAGCAGATGTGGCATTGTCTCCAAGGATGTCCCAGAGGGCTCAGCAGACAGAGGAGTGGCCTGAGAGTTTGTCTAGAGAAAATGCTTCTAAACACTGCAGGGAATCCATCCGGGGTCACGTGCTCGGCAGGAGTTGAGGGGCCAGGCCTCCCCACCCAGCTGGCCTCAGCAAGGTGGCCAGGGCCAACACACAGATGCACCATGAGGATCCAGGGAAGCGGGTTGCATCGGGGCAGAAGTGATGGTAGCTTAGGGAGGGCACAGCCAGCGCAGCCGTCGCTCACCTGGAACCTCAGGGGAGGCCCCTCGGGGTGGATCTGGGCACTGGCCACCTCAGCCACGATCATTCCCAGGCGGCGCACGGCGGGCAGGCTGCTGTCCAGATGACTCTGCACTCCCGCCATCAGGCTGGCCAGCAACTCTGGAGGCACCAACGTGCACAGGCTGAGTGCCGGGGGCATCATGGATGGGGATGGGGCGCCCATCCCGCCTGCTCACCGTCCCGGCAGTCCTGGAGCTCTGCCTCCCCCAGGTGTGCCAGGCACACGAGGATGGCCTTGCTGATGTAGTGCTGCTGTGCCAGGGGTGCGTGGCGGATGGCACTGCTGCTGCCCCACGTCTCCAGGAGCTCCTTCAATGCCTGGAGGGCTGCAGCCAGTCAGACAGCCTACCTGCCTCCCCATGGGCCTCAGTGCCACTGTCCTCACCAGCCCCAGGGAGGCTCCAGCCAGCGCCCTCCCTCCCAGGCAGGAACCTCTCCCCTCTGATTCCTGCCACAAGGTGGTCCCAGGACACCACAGGGACTGAGGGTTCCTTACCTGTATGAGGAGCGGGCGCCGCTGGCTGTCCATGGCCAGGTACCCTAGCAGGCTCTGCAGCACGGGTGTCTGCGACAGAGCCAGGCGTCCTGTCAGTCTGCCAGGCAGACATGGTACACCCAGCCAGGGAGCCCAGGAGTGGTAATGTGTCTGGGCTGAAGGACAGTGATGTTTCCAGGGCAACCAAGCACTGCCCCAGCCCCACCCGTCACAGTCATCCCCCTTGGACCTGGGGCAACCGGCACCCTCACCGTGTAGCGGTACTGTAGGAACAGGAGCTTCCGGGTCATCACAAACTGGGCCTTCTTACTCTTCATCACCAGGTTCCCCAAAAGCCGCGACAGGACTTCAGGCCTGTAGGGCACAGCCAGGGCGAGAGGGAAAAGCATGAGCTCCAAGTCCTGACAGATCTGCGCTGGACTCCGGGCTCCGCATGCACCACCGGGGAGCCAGGCAGGCGCTTCAGCTCTGAGTCAGTTCTGACTCTCCTTCCTCCTAGTAAACGCAGGAACCAGGGAGCCCCTGCCCTACCCTGACAGAGTCCAGGTGAAATGCTCCATCTAGAGCAGGGCAGCCAGCTCTCCCACAAAGGGCCAGAAAGCAAAGATTCGAAGTTTATGGGCCATCAGGTTCTGCAGAGACGCTGTAGTCAAGATCAGCCACAGGCAGATACATACAGGACCGAACAGGGCTGTTTTGTCAATAAAACTTTACTTCTAAAAATGGGGAGGGCCACATTCGGCCCACAGGCCTTAGTATGCAGACCCAGATCTAGACTAAGAGACCCCTGCTTCCTTCAGCGAGTGAGAGCCCGACACGCTCTCCAACCAGCACAGAGAAAGTGGGGCTGCATTTCCCCTCCCTTGTCCCTCAACATTCTACACAAAAACATGAAGACTCAAAGAAAAAGAAAAAATCAAGAAAACTGAAAAAGTCAAGGAGAAAGACCCATACAAGCTGACCTACAGCTCCGGGGCAGGGAGCACGGCAGCTCTAGGAGACAGAGAAAGCTAAACCCTACTCAGGCACCCATGGTGTGGAAGGCTCGTGTGGCCATCAAGATGCCTGTGATAAGCCACAGACCCGTGCACAGCCGGGAGAGCCGGTGTTAAGGTGCCTCTGCTCATGAGAAGCCAACACACAGGCAAGTAAAACAACATGATCAGATGGTTCACAATAACTTCAAGACACACACCCTCAGCCAGAATCAAAGAAATGCAGAGTCAAACACAGAGGAAACAACCTTGGCAGAGAAACAGGTCCCTCAGGCTGGGAGACCATCTGGAGGCACATGGATGACCACCGAGACCAGCCAGCACTGCCTTTTCTGCAGACCTCCGTGAGCACAGAGACAAAGGCAGACATGTGCACAGGAGGCACTGCAGCCCCGGCAGAGGGCGGAAAGGACCAGCCTGGCTGTGCAGGACCAGGATGGCCAACCCTGTCAGCAGTGAGGAAGCATGGGCATTTGCACAGCCAAACTCTAAGAAAGGACCGGCCACCTTTCCAAGGGGCCACCACTCATGCCCGGCGAGTGCTGACCCCACGAAGACAGGCAAATAAAGCATCATCTGGGTCCCCAGCATCCGCCCTCCTGGGAGAGAAGTGTCTGCAGCAGGAAGGATGCCTTGCTTCTTACCCCGAGGCAGCTTCCACCAGCCCTGTCAGTACAGCCTCCATGGCCCGGTCGGGCACGCGCTCCACCAGGCGCCAGCAGACCCGCTGCCAGAGGCAGCTGCCCTGGGTGAGCGCTGTCAGCCGGGGCACCAGCACACCCAGGAGCTCCTCTGTGGGGAAGCAAGTGGGGGTCCTGAGCCCGGGGCCCGTGGGGTGGACAATGACTGCAGTTCCCACCCAGGGACCCAGGACAGCCAGTATCGGCTCACCAGGGCCAGGCCCAGGCGAGGGGACTGCAGCAATCTCCCCCCAGGGCACCCACACTGCCCCCCTCTAGGACAGCCAACAGGAACTTCTCCCAAGACAGGAACACTCACTCTGTCTCCCATGGACACAGGCTTTTCCCAGGACCTGAGACAGGAAGGAGACGGAGCAGTCCAAGCCACCTGCGACAGGAAGGAGTGGCAGTAAGGCCATCAACACGCACCTGATCAAGTGGGGACAGACCTTGCTCCGGGTAGACAGACTCAGCCTTGTAAAGATGCCAGCTCATTCAGTCCAATTCCAACCTTACCAGTGCTGTTCCTAACTCCGAGAGCCAGTGAAGATAACCACTTAAAAAGCCTTATGTTCCCATGCTTAATGGTCACAACAATCCTACGAAGTGGGGAAGACTGTCGGGGTACCAGGGAGGAGGTGAGCCTGGCCCAGGCAGTCAGCTATGCAGGGCAGGTGGGGGCTCCGAGCCGCCCACAGGGAGGAACTGAGGATGCTGGGACAAGGAGGGGGCTGGCAGCAGCAGCTGGCCCAGAAAAGCCAGGATGATGAGACCGACCAGGAGACAGACAGGCCCCACACATGATGAAAATGCAGTATCTGCAGTCTAAAGATGGGTGTTTGGGGTCCTGCAAAGAATTCAATGCAGCCACTTACAGAGCACAGGAGATGTGTTCCAGACCCGTTCAAATACCCTGGCGCTCTCTCCCAGCCAGAGCAGGGGGCTGGGCAACCCCGCAGGAATCCAGTCTGCACCCTCCAGCTGGAGAAACATGGGCACATGCCTCACCCCACTGTGATTCCCTCACCCACGATAGTGACACTCTGGGGACATGACTGGTGGGAGCAGAGGGTGTGCAGGCACAAGGGTGCTACACAGACCACACAGCCATGTCCCCTCGCCAAGGACCGCCTGGCCATCTCCTGGGGCGGCAGCTCGGCTGCGTGCGGTTCCTGAGACCCCTCCACTCATTCCGGCCAGGAACCTGGATGAGAACACAGGCTTCAGCCACCATTCCCAGTCTCCCAGGGAGACCCAAAGAGAAGAGCATGTTGGCCAAGTTCTCTGAGGGGAACGAAGCCCATGCACTTAACCAGATGGGAAATGTGGGTACTTGAACCCTCACAACCCACATCCTTGAGGGCAGAGAAGGCTCGTGACGTGGGTATGGCTCCAGGTCCAAGGACACAACCCTTAGGTCCATCTCTCTCAACAACCCAGCCCAAGTTGGCCACTACTCTGAGCACTGGGTCAGCTGTACTAGGGGCAGACAAGCCCAGTCTGAAGCTCACTCCGGGGGAGAAGCCAGACAACAGGGCGGGGCCTTAGTGGATGGTCAGTCCAGGGAAAGGAAGAGCCAGCAGCTGCCACACTATACAGGGGGACCAGGAAGGTGGCCCTGAGAAGTGGCACTGGAGCCTGGAGCACCATGGGCCCCAAGCAGGAACACGTCGGAGCTAGGAGGTAGGAGCAGAGCTACAAGGTTCTGAGCAGAGAGAAACACAGCATGCCTTATTTTTAACAGCACCACACAGCTGCTCTGTTTGGGAGGCTGTGGTGAGAATCCAGGCTTGGGCCAGGGTGGGGGCAGCACAGGAATAGGGGGATCAGGCTCCTCCTGGGCGTCAAGAGGCAGAGGAGCCAGGGGTGTCTCTCAGACATGCGTGGGCCTACACTGCGGGGAAAGGCGACAGCTCAGCCAGCCTGACTGCCCGAGGTCACCACCTAACTCCCATTTCCACATGGGCTGCCACGGCCCCCAGACTTCTCCCTGCTCATGGAACACACGGGGGAAGGCATGTTTAAGATGGTCCCAAGACCGTAATTAGTCAAGAGGGTGGGAGGCAAACCACTCTCAGTGTCTCCAGGCGCCGAAAGCACCCTCAGAGTCGCCCCCAGTGCTGCCTCCAGATGCCAGAGAACGGAGTTCCTCCACCCATGATGGCCATGGGACAGACCCACACCGACAAGGAGACAGGGACAATGGCCAGCAGCCCCCTCAGACAGACTCTCTGCACAGTAAGAGCTCTCTGGTTTCCAGATCATGGATGTTCCCTTATGCTGAGTGAGGCCAGGCAATGAGCGGCTCCACCTGGGCTTCACCGGACGTCCAACCCGGAACTGCCCCTGCAATCAGAGGTCAGCCTCACCTCCAAGGCAGCCGAGAAGTGAACAAAACTTCACAGGTGGATTGCTGCCACCCCACACAGGAGACAATGTCTGACCCACCAACGGCACCACCCAGAAACTTCAAAGTCCCCAGAGGCTGGAGAGGCCAGAGGGACGGTGGGCGGTAGGAGGAGATGGCTGGAAGAAAGGGCCTCACCTCGGAGAGACTCCACGACCACCTGCAGGGCCCGCAGGAGCTCCTCGCCGAGCAGAGGGAAGTAGTTTTGAGGGAAGAATCCAGCCAGGTTCTCCCGCTGCAGGCGGTTGCCCAGGTGATCAGGTAAGCCCACCACTTTGCTAAGGAGTGTCTCCTGGAGCAGCGGGAAGGCCGGCTCCATCTGCTGTCGACATTGCCCCTCCATCACAGCGGCCATCCTGCCTGCGCTCAGGAACCGGGCCAGCAGCCGTGCCATCTTCATCAGACGGAAGCTGGGGCTGAACCAGGAGCAGATGCAAATAGCCACACTTAACAGTGGGCTCAATGCAGCTTCCCCACCTTGGAATTACTGGAAACACCACCCTCCTGTCCTGCTCCACACTGGTTTCCATGCAGTACTTGGTCTTTATCACAGCAACTCCTGAAAACCCAGCTTCAAAATGACAGCATTCCTGGAAGGACCACAGTGTGCCCTGATGCTGAGTGCGTTTGCTGCAGTGCCTCACAGCAGAGCTGGGAGACACACAGTGAGAAGGCCCCAGGAAGATGGCCATGCCTACTGCCTACCTATCCCACCTAAGCCCAGAGCTGACCCATTGCCTTAGATGCTGACACGGCAAGACAGAGGGCTAGAGCCTTCCCATCCCAGAGATGAACACATCCCAGTTTTAATTCAGTGCTCTGCTGGGCAACAGTTTTACTCTCACTTTTCAGGATGCAGAATTCTCACAGAATTTGGAGAACCTGCTGATTTGAAATCCTTCAGATGTTACAAGCCCCACTCACCTGGCAGCACCCTCGATGGCCTCCATCAGCACCAGGAAGGCTTGATCAGCTGGGCCCTCCAGGAAGAAGCTGGCCCACAGCTCCTCCAACTGGCCATCAGGCAGCAGCTCCAGCCAGTCTGGGCTCAGTTTGCCGACAAGGCATCTGAGAAACATGGAAAAGTGGATCCTGGCAAACTCCTCCTGCTCCTCAGGAAGGGCTGGGTTCTCCGTTTCACCAAGATACCGCTTCAGGGATCCCAGAGTGGAGAAGATGCAGCCCCCATCCTCAGACGATGAAAGGGTGTGAACCGCCTCCCGGACAGTGAGCCGGACAGTGGAGAGCACGGGATCCATCCTGGAGTTCACGGTAAAGGCACGTGAGAAGTCCAAGTCCACCATCATCCTTGTGGGACTCAGACTTGGATAAGTAAGTATTTTTTACATACCCTCCTGACTTCATATTCAGCTTCCTGGGACCCCATTCCTCCTCACCCCTGCTGTCACCCAGCAGTGTTCCCTCCAGGCAGCATCCGTCGCTGTTTCACCAAGAGCCATTTCATGGCTTGAGGCTCTCCATGGTGCCTTCAGCAATAGGGCAACCATGTGTGAGAGTCTGGAGACATCTTTAGATGTCAAAACCAGGGGTGCTACCTTGCCCCTAGTGCCTCAGTAGAGGCCAGGGATGCCCATAAACATGTACGCAGGACAGGCCCCAAAGACTATCCAAACCCAAATGTCAGTGGTGCTGAGGTAGGAAGACCCGCCAGCACTTCTAACTCCCTGATGCATCCATCTGTGGTTCACCTTGCCAAGCTCCCGTCCTTCCCGGAAACCAAAACTATCTGCAGGTAGTATTTACTTTGGGTCGGGCACCCCTGCAGGAACCAGTGCCATTAAGTAGGCACCTGTCTGTCACCTGTGCACCCTGCCACTAAAGAAAGCTGCATTAGGGGCCCAAGACGGGTCCCCACGAGCCTGGCCCTCCCCGTTCAGCCAGGTCCCTTTAGGGGTGTGCAGACTGTTTAGAGAGCGCCTGTCCCCACGCCCGCTCCCCAGAGTGTACGTGGAGCCCACCTAGAGGCGCGGAGGGAGGGGGCCCCGTGGGGGTGGGCAGGGGGCCTCGAGGGACGGGAGGGAGCCTGAGGGAGGGCAGGGGTCTCCGGGAAGCGCCCACCCGTCGGGTCCACTGAGTCGCCGGGGCGCTCTCGGGCCTCGCCAGCTCCGCCAATGCCGATCGGTCACCGATTCGCCACGGCCTCTGCGGCCCAGCTCCGCCCTCGGTTCCCGGCCCAACGCACGCGGCTGCAGAGCAGGAGTTTCCTGGACCTGGGCAGAGCCGCCGCTGAATTTTTTGAGCCAGAGGCGCCAGTCCCCGCCTGCTGTTCGTGAGGAATCTGCGAGCCGGAAGAGGAGCGGAACAGGCGGCAGCATCTGCGCTTGCGCAGGAGCGGACCTCGCGTGGGTGTGGTTTATGATAGGCAGGGCTGCGCCCCACCTGGTTGGGAGCCCAGTTCCTCGGCTTTCTAGAGGCGCAAGTCTGCCTTCCCTCTCTCTACCTCCGTGGACGTCTTCCTGCAGTGATCTCCCGCCCTCCCTCCGCTAGCAAGCCCCAGTTCTATCCGTAACCCACGCGTGCTCGCATCCACAAACACCTACTGAGCACCGACCACATGTGCTGTCTTGCCGCCCGCACCGAGGCAGAGTCCCGCTTTCCTCGGGCCTAAGCCTTTGCAGGGAAACGCACCGCATTGAAGCAATCGAAACTGGGGTGATTTCGAGTATTGGTGGGTGCGGCGGTATAGATGCTAGGACAGGTGCTGCACCGTTCAGCCCGGTAGCCATCAGCCACCGTGTCAGTTCCTTGGTCACAGTGGCTGGCCACGTTTCAAGGGCCCTATGGCCACCTGTGGTAGAGGCTGCATTAAGGCATAGCGCAGGGATGGGACCTTCCGTCTTGGCAGAAGGTCCTATTGATGGTGTTGGAGAACGATCTGGGAAGATTTCGCAAGGAGGTGCCATTTCAGCCTAGACGGCCGTTGAGGAAAAACCTGGGGGACATTTATTCATTCAACATACATTAACCAAATTCCTGCTGTGCTCAGCAAGCACTCTTCCGGGGCAGAGAATGAAGCAAAGGGGGACAAATAAAGTACATGTGCAATATATTAGATGCCAAATAGTGATAAGAAAAATAAGGGTAAGAAAATGAGCAATCGAAGACTGTCTCCTTTTAGAAGGTCCACCCTGGGTGCAGTTAGGAGAACGGACGGTAGGGGGCAACCGAGAATGCAGGGAGCCCGGCGGGGCGGCCTGAGCTAGAACCGGCGTGGGCCAGGTGGCGTGTTGGGGCCAGTCTAGGAAATCTCCGTGGAGCAGGCGGGATGGATTGGATGTGGGTGTGACTGGAGAGAAGAGTGGAGGATAACGCCTGGCTGGGACTCTGCAAATTCCTCCCAGGATGCTCCTGGATTAGAGCCTTCACTCCCAGTTTCTTCCACCTCTGTCCCCACATTTTCTTGAATCCTATCACCTGGCAATTTCTCAAGAGACAGTGCACAGGATAAATTTCTTAAGCCTGTGCATATCTGAAAAATGCCTTTATTCTTTGCTCCAGGTTGACTCACATTTAAGCCCGATGCACAATTTTATCAGCACCACAACTCTAACCTTCTGATCTAGTGGGCCACTGTAGATACTCAGTTTTATATGAAAATCATCTCATTCAGAAATATTAAGGTTTGTTTCTCTGTCTTTGGCAGCCAATTTTGCTGCTAAGATGGTCAACAGTTCTCTGGGGAGAGTCTCCATCCTTCCCACGTGACCAGGTTTTTCTCTCTGGATACTTTTAAAGGATCTTCTCCTCCTGGTGTCTGACACTTGTCAGGATGAGACTTGGAGTCAGTCCTTGACCTTGGACCAAGGAAGTCCTTGACCAATGAAGGGCCAAATCCTTCCTTGAACCGGTGCTCTCTGCCATGTGGTCTTGACAAGATGGATGCCCTTGGCTGGGAGACCTTCCTAGATTATCTTCTAACAGTCTCTTCCCCTATTTTCTGTAGTCTTGCTTGCTACAGTTTCTTTTCATTGGATTGACCTTGAAAGTTATATTTTCTATCTTTTTTTTATCTCTTTGTCTTTTGGCCTGAATTTTGGGCAATTGCTTCAAATCTACCTTTTATCTTTTCTGTGATATTTATTTACTTGTATTTTATTTTACTTTTTATCTAATTGTTCAATTACTTTTTGGGTATTTTTTTTTAAATCATGGTTTTTCATTTCCAAGAGCAACTTCTTCTTTTCTGATGATTCCTTTTTTCATAGCACCCGTTTCTTCTTGCCTTGTGAACACAAAGCTTTTCTTGTCTTTCCGAGGGTTTAGTTAGCATGCTTTTAAACTTTTCCTTGGCCCTCTGCATTGTCTCCCAATTTCTTTTCTATTTGGGCAGATTTCCATCTCCCATGTGGATAGGGGCGTGTTGTCATGGGCTCTTGCCTGGTGATAAATACACATTTTCTCCCTCCTCCGACCTGGGGGCAGGTGCCTGACTGTGGCTGCTGCTTCTGGAAGCTGGCAGAACCCTCAGATTCACACAGTTCAACAGGTAGACGTTTATTTCAATACCTTATTGTTAACATTACCCTTAAAATAAATTTTGTGATATGTATAACTTCCACTAAGTTCTTTTTTAAAAAAGAACAGAAGATAAAAAAGATCAAAAGGAAAAAAGTCCCCCATCCCCACACCTGGGGCCTGCACACCTGGAGTCTTTCTCCAGGGCAATGCTGTTCATTTAAAATATGATGTAAGCCCCTCACATAGTATTAAATATATTAGTAACCATACTAAAAAATAAAAAGAAACAGGTTCAGTTTTAAAATGATACATTTACCCCAATCCATCTAGAATATTACAATTTCAACATATAAAGTACATAAAATCTGATGATTAGTGAGGTAGTTTACACTCCTTTTTTGCACTAAGTCCTGGAATCCACTGTGTAACTTGCACCTGCAGTTGATTTCCACTCAGACTGGCCTTGTGTCAAGGCTCAACAGTCACACAGGACCTCAAGCTCCAGAGAGCCAGCCAACCATGTCCTGGGGCCAGGCTGGTATTCAGGAGCGGTGCACAGCACAGATGGTCAGGGAGGAGGCAGGGGTCTGGTGACTCTATCCAGGCTGACACGAGTCTTTTCACTTTAACCTGCACCTTGCCCCAGCCCCCCACCATCCCTGGACACCCCCGCAACCTCTCAAACCTGTCTGTAGTGGGCAGAATGGTGGCCCCAAAATGACACCTTCAAGTCCTAACCCCCGAACCTGTGAGTTTATTCAGAAAAGCCATCTTTATGGATGTAATTAAGTTACAGATCTCGAGGTAAGATCATCCTGGAATATCCAGGTGGGCCCTAAATCCAATGACTGGTGTCCATTTTTAAAACAGAGGTACTGGGGATTGTACCCAGGAACTCGTGCAAGCTAAGCACGTGCTCTACCGTCCCCCCTAAATGACAGGTGTCCTTATGAGACAGAAGAAACGCACACAGGAAGGGGAGAAGCCGTATGAATACGCAGGCAGAGGTTGGGGTGATGCTGTTACAGGAACGCGAGGAGCTGGACGCAGCAGGAAGAATCCTCTCCAGGAGCCTTCGTGGGGAGTGTGGTCCTGCTGACACCTTAATCTCGGACTTCCGACCTCCAGAGCCACAGGAGAATATATTCCTGCTCCCACCCCCTGGAGGGTTCATCCCATACAGCAGCCCCAGGACACGGACACACTCCCTGCCCCTCAGGGTCCCCCTCTGCAGCTCTCTCTGCTCTGCAGGATCAGTTGCCACACCTGTTCTCCTTTGTTTCCTTGCTGCCATCCAAGTGACGCTTGGGGAGAGGAGACCAGCATCTGTGCACAGCCACCATGTTTGAAGTCAAGTCTTGGCCCTGACAGCGGTTTTAACCTGCTCCCCTCATTGCGTCACAACTGTCCGTGGACCTGGCTCTAGGATGAGGTCCCCCCTGCCCCCTATTTACCCAGGCAGACAGTCTGTTAGTTTCCTGGGGCTGCTGTAAACAGTGACCACAAACAGGAGAGCTTAAAGCAACAGCAGTGTTTTCTCTCATATCCCTGGAGACGAGAAGTCTGAGATCAAGGTGTCAGCAGGACCATGCTCCCATCAAAGGCTCTTGGAGATGATGCTTCCTACCTCGTCCAGCTCCTGGTAGTCCTGTGGCGGCATCACCCCAACCTCTGCCTCCATCTTCACACAGCCTTCTCCCCTCCCTATGTGTGTCTTCTCTTCTGTCTCATCAGGACACTTGTCCTTGGATTCAGGGCCCACCCAAATCCAGGATGTCTCAACTCAAGATCCCTAATTACAGTCATGAAGACCCTTTTTCCAGATAAGTTCATGTTCACAGTTACCAGACTTAGGACTAAGATCTACCTTTTGGGGGGCCACCATTCAGCCCACTACACAACCTGGTCCCAAAAGGAAATTAGAGTGGCTCCCAATTCCATTTGCTATGCCTGATGCAAGGGCAAGAGACAACCCTCACAGGATGTGCTGTGCACGGCCAGGATGCTGGACCCCACCGCAGACTTGGCTCTAACATCTCCCTAGGTCCCAGTGGGATCCCTGTCATGTGGGAACATAAGTCCATGCGCTCCTGCTAAAACAATCGCCTCTGTCTGCCAGCTGGACCCAGGCTTGCACCCAGTAGAGTTATTTTCCAAAGAAACTGTTTGCATCTGTTTTAAGCTCGTGTCCTTGGGAACCTCCAACTCTCCAGAGCAAATGCCTTTCGTTAAGGTAGCAGAAAGTACCTGACTCCCTGCTGGAGCAGAAAAAGGAAAACCACTCCCCAGGAGAGCTGGGAGGAGCGTGGGGAGAGGCAGCAGCTTGAAGCAGGCAGGGTGCCTCCCGCTTCTCATCCTGCTCAGAATGGGCTGCCCAGGGAGGAAACCCTTGTTTTTCTTCCTCCTTTTTGTGCTTATGTATCTGCCTGGGGCTTTGCTGCAGGAAGCTGGCCCTGTGAGGCAAAGGAAACCATTTTTCGAGAGGCTCCGTAGACTAGAGGAACAAGTAAGTATACCCACCATTTGGGACAGTTGGGTTTTTTTAATTGATGGCAGACAAAGGACAGATGGTACCGAAACAGTAGTCAGCTTCTGTGCTCTGTGGGCTCAGAATGGAGTTTCCAGTTCTTTTTATCAGCTGACTATCTTCACCGATGGTTGGAAACCTGCAATAGGTTTGGTGGGCTCCATTCTGAATACAAGCCAGCTGAGTGTGAGGGTTGGGCGGGACTCTGGGTAGTGGAGGGCAGTCCACTGGGCTTGGGGCACGAGGTCTTAAGTCCCCTACAGAGCAGAGACTCCTGTGTGCGTTCATGGCAGGTTCCTGGGTACCCCACCTGCATCAGGGCTGTACCAAGCTCTCCCTACTTTGACCCTACAAACACAAAGCCCATCCAGCTATGGGTCTGCTGGCGGGTAGGATCCTGAGGGTCACAGGGTGAAGAGCGTGGGGCACAGGGTGGGATGGGAGCTGGGCCGTGGAGCCCTCACTCCCTGCAGCGCAGAGCTGGGGCTAGAGCCAGGGCTGGTGGCAGAGATCAGCCCACACCTCACTGCATTGCTGTGAGGATAGAATCCCCCATGACAGCTCGTGTTCTCTCTGCAGTTTCAGAGGTTCCAAGAGGCGGCACTAACGCACTTGCAGGGCATTGCCAGCAACTACAACCTGTCCTTCAATTTCGAGGCCCGGTTCCAGAGTCTGGCCCACAGGAGCCAGGCTGTGGCCCTGGCACTCAACCAGTGCAGGCCACCATGCAGGAGGACCTGGGCCACCTCAAGACCTGGATGCGGAAGACACAGCGCAGAAGCCGGAAGGTGGACTCCAGGCTGCTGGCCTTAGACACCGCCCTGAGCAAGAGGAGCCGGCAGTGTGTCCGGGAGAGGAAGGAGCAGGAGGCGCAGAGGGACGCCCTCTCCAGCCTGGCCCTGGATGTGCGGGCCCTGCAGGATGCGCTGGCTCACCTGATGCCCCTCGTCCAGAGCCAGGGTGCCCGGCTGGCCACTCTCGAGGGGCAACTACAGGTGGCCAGTCCTGGCACCACCACCCTGGGGGTGACCCCAGCCCAGCCTAGATCATCAAGCCCGAGCTCCCCACAGCTGCAGCGGGGCAGGCAGGCACTCGGGGCTCCACCTGAGCCCAGGGAGCCACCTCTGGACTTTACTCGCCCTCTCCAGGGGACGCACAAGCTCCCAGGTCCAGGCAGCCAGCCGGCACGGACCCCCGAGAGCCCAGGAGAGAGTAAGCAGCATGCCTGCCCTTCCCCATTAATCTCCATTTTTCCCTCCGGTGCCTCCTGGGGCCTCCAGTCCCCTTCAAAAGGCCTTCTTCCCAGGGCTTTGGGGAGACGACACTGCTCTCCACCCCCCAAGCCCCACCCTAGAGGAAAAGAACCATCCAGGTGACAGCTTGTCTGCAAGTCAGGCTACCCAGGGCGCACACCTGCAGGCAGTAAATGTCCACTCAGAGTTGGCGATCACCCTCAGTAGTCTTGGCCGGATCCCAGGAAGTCCTCAGCCATCGACAGCAGGAAACCTCTGCAGGGCCCCAGCCTCAGCCAGTACCCCGTGGGGTCTGTGCCCACCCATGGAGGCCCCCCAGTTCTGCCTTTCCATATCCGATCTCCTAGTTTAGTGTTTCCTGACAGCGACTCCACTGGCATTTGGGGTTGGGTAGTCCCTAATTGTGGGGTGTCCAGGGTACTGGAGGGTGTTTAGCAGCATTCCCAGCCTCCCCACCGGACGCCAGCTCATCTTTAACTCTCAGTTTGGACAGGGCTGCTTCCTCTGTCTGACTTTGCAGCCCTCAGAGTCCCATTAAACTGAAGCAGGTTTCCCTCCATCTCCATGGTTCTAGGGGCCTCACCAATAAGACCGGGCTGACTGGATGACCTGGAGGGACCCACCAGGGCTCCCAGGAAAGTGGGGGCTATAGGTTTGGGGGCCCCAAAATTCTGACAAGCAAAACTGTCTACAGATGTTGCTAGATGTCCCCTGGGGGCATGGTCATCTCCAGCTGAGGACCATTGCCCTGGATTATGACAAGAGCCACTCAAGTGAAGAGAGGAGCTGGGAGCTGGCCACAGAAGCCCTCCGCCCTGGCACCCAATAGGTGGGCGGGCTGAAAATGCAGATTTTCTCGCTCAGCCCCCAGCCTGCCAATCAGAACCTCAGACCAGATGCCCCACCCCTGCCCCACCCACTCTTCCATCAGGTAGATCTGGCAGGAAGTCTGGTCAAAGGAGTTATGCTCCCAAAGATGTCCACGTCCTGGTCCTGGACTTTGTGGATGTGTCACCTCACAGGCGAGAGAACTTTGCAGATGGCATTAAGGATTTTGGAATGGGAGTGGATCCTTGATGGTCCCATCGACCAATGTCATCACAGGGGTCCTTATAAGATGGGTCAGTTTCAGGGATGGAGAGATTAGGACGAGAGCAGAGGGGCAGCAAAAGGCTTCCCAGAGAGCCTCCAGAGGGACCAGCCCTGCCCATACCATGATTTTAGCCCAGGGAGATCCCAAATGTGACTTCTGACCTCCAGACTGTGAGATGCTAAATTTGTGTTGTTTTGAGCCACTGCATTTGTTGGAATTTGTTACAGCGGCCACAAGCCATCACCCAGGGCTCTCTGTTGGTGAGGAATGCAGCTCAGGCTCACTCTCAGCAAAGTACCTGGTTGCCAGTCTTCCCATCCGTACAATGGGGCTGATGGCATCAGGATAAATGAGACGCCGCCCTCACCGTTTGTGCTCAATCGTGGTCAGCCACCAGGGGTGTTCGGCTCACCCGCCTGGAGAGCAGTGCCTGTGACTTGGGTGCTCCTGGGTGACCTTGTGGTACAGGCTTTCTTTCCTCCCTCCATTTCTAGTTTGCAACGTGGGCCCAGTGCTCGTCTTCCCAAATGCCTCCGCCAACAACGTGGTCTTCCTTTGCCCTGGCTTCCTCACCAGCCTGCGGGCCCTGTCCATCTGCAGCTGGATCCGCACAGCCTCGGGCCACCTGGGCACCCTTCTGTCCTATGCCACTGAAGAAAATGACAACAAGTTGGTTCTGTATGGCCGCAATTCCCTGGTCCCCGGCTCTGTTCACTTTGTGATTGGAGATCCGGCCTTCAGGGAGCTGCCCCTCCAGCTTCTGCTAGATGGCCGGTGGCACCATGTGTGCGTCATCTGGACATCCATCCTGGGCAGGTACTGGCTCCATGTGGACAGCAGGCTAGTGGCCACCGGCTCCCACTTCAGGGAGGGCTACGAGATTCCTCCCAGAGGGTCCCTTGTGCTAGGTCAGGAGCAAGACAGCATTGGGGGTGGGTTTGACAGCTCTGAGGCCTTCGTGGGGAGCATGGCAGGCCTGGCCATATGGGACCGGCTACTGGTTCCCGGGGAAGTCTCAAACCTTGCCACTGGGAAGGAGCTCCCAACGGGCGCCATCCTGACGCTGACCAGTGCCATATCGGTAGGCGGATTTGTGCAGAGGGTAAACTGCAGCTGCTTACAGCTCTGTCCATGAGGCCTCACTACCCGGCAGTGTGCTCATGCTGTGGGCTGGAGAGAGGAGTGAGTCTCCAGCCATGTTCGGCCACCCCCGACTCCAGCACGCTCCAAAGAGGGTCCCCCTCTGCTGCCTCTGACCTGGGCTGGGCACATCTGCCCCGTAACGTAGGATGTGAGCTTCCCAAGTGTGTGTGTTGGGGGGTGGGTGAGGGCCCACAGGCAGTGCCAAGCCCTGAGATCCCAAGGACTGCGTTCTTTCCCTCCCTGTGGCATTCTTATGTCTCCCCCTCTTTGTAGAATGACCCAGCCACTTGGGACTGCTGGATCGCAGTGGGGCCTCTCCTCTGGGTGTAGGTTTGGAGCAACTGCAGGCCCGTTTCTGGAGAACTCCTGTTTTCCTTGCATTTGAACTGTTGTGGCCCTCTCTCCACACGTCTTGTGAAAGTTTCCCTTTGGGTGATCCTTGTTCCAACATCTCTCATGAGGAGGGCTGGGGATCCACTTCCTGGCCCCATTGCTACAGCCCCCCTTCTCCAGGAGCCCTTGGGGTTTCATCAAAGTTCTGTGATGGTTGGTGAGGTGGCCAGAGCCTCTGGGAAGGGGGCCCGTACAGGGAGCAAGCGATTCAGACGTGTACATTAACGATAGGTGAGCAATGATTTTACAGCTACTGTATTAGGGTGTAATTTATATGCTATGAAATTCACCCCTTGTAAGTGTACAATTCAAAAATTTTTAGTATATTTGCCGATATGCAACTGTCACCGCAGTCCAGTTTTACATTTCTGTTGTCCTCCCCCAAGAAATCGTGCCTGTTAAGGGTCACTCCTGTCCCCATCCAGCCCCTCCTCCAGCTCTGCACCCACTGACCTGCTTTCAGTCTCTGTGGATTTGCCTGTTCTGGACATTTCACATAAATGGCCTCATTAAATCTGTGGTCTGTGGTGTCTGGCTTCTCTTACACAGCATCACGTTTTCCAGGTCCATCAGTGTTGTAGCGTGCATCAGTGCTTCGCTCTTTTGCGTGGCTGAACAGCATTCTGTTGTAAAGGACCACGTTTTGTGTATCCATTCATCAGTCGATCGAAACTTGAGTGGTTTCCGGTTGGTGGGCTCTTGTGAATGAAGCTGCTATGCACATTCTCATGTGAGTCTTTGTGTAGGCATATGTTTTCATTTCTCTTGAGCAGATACCTAGCAGTAGAATTGCTGAGTTGTAATGATAAAACCACCTCTAAACTTTCAAAGAAACCACCAAACTGTTTTCCAAAGCAGCTGCATTGTTTTAAATCCCCACCAACCCTATGTGGTGTTTCTCATTTCTCCACATTCCTGCCAGCACTTGATAGATAATGTCTGTCTTTTTATAGCTTTTTTAAAAATAGAATTTTAAATCATGGCAGGTTAAAACAAACAAACAAAAAAACAAACAAAACAAGCATTGACAATGAGAACAGGCATGGTTCAGTTTGTTTAAGTTTCAGTGTGATGTCAATTAACCCCTGCATGATCACAGAATCAGAAGGTTGGTGCAGACAGGATAAAGGAGCAGTGTTGAGAGTATGGTGGGGGCAGTGGGGATGCCCCTCCATCTGTGGGGGAAGCTTAGAATCACTGAGTCAGCCCAGTTCTTAGAATTCACCTACTGTAACCCATTTTAAAAATGCAGGAAAAAACTAGAGAAGTCCAGTTCCACAAGGGGTCCTGGTTTCAGCTCTGCCCACAAGGAGGCAGCCAGTAGGCACTGCTCTGTGGGGAGGTGCCTGAAATCAGTCCCTGGGGTCCCTTGGCAGCATTCCATTTCTGCAGAGCTGTCTGTAGCCCCAGAGATCCCAGGCCTTCTGCTCAAAGACCCAGCCAGCCACCTCCCCCAGCACGGTCTGCCCATCCATGAGTCACAGTCAGGAGACGCATCCTAGGACTGGAAAACCCTGTGGGTGGCCACAGAAAAGTCCTGGAACCATGGATTCTGCGTCTCTTGGCACTTCCCCAGGACTCAGCCATATTCATGGAGAGCTGGCCTTCTCAAAGTCTTTTCCAGGCTCCTTTGGCCTTTTCTGGAGACCTTGCTCCATCCCACTCTGCTGTTGAGGAGAGAAGGATGACATCTTTTTGAGGGGAAGACTGGTAATTTGATTAGGAAGTATTTCTGGAGGGACAGCTGGGTCCCCAGCATTAAAAAACCATGCAGAGTGATATTTCCCACCTTCCCCTGCCTTTAGGTGCCGTGGGGGACCCATGCTGTTTCACCTTCACAGCAGTATTCCTGCCAAGTGTCTGCAGATCCTAAGTCTGCGGGAATTTGGCAGAGGTGGCATCGCCGTGGCTGCCACATTCGGATGTTTCATGGGGAGGGGGCCCTCCAGGAGGGCAGAGGTACCTGGGAAGGGGCTTTGAAGGGGAGCTTGGAGGGAGCTCAGGTTGCTGGGGATTTGGGAAGGGCCGGCTTATCCGGCTGAGGAGTCTGGACACTGTCAAGGGAAGCCCATCCAGGTTTTGGAGCAGAGGAGTCTGAACATACATCTCATGTGATCCGCCATCCCTGCTGGGTGAGTGACAAAGACCCACGTGCATTTTGAAGCAGGCACCAGGCTTACCTCTAATTCCATCAATCCCACCTTTGACCTGAGTCTGCTGTGTTCCTGGGTGTGGAGGACCAGACGACCCAAAGGGAACTCCCCAGCATGGCGCCCCATCCCTGGAACTGTTCTTATGTCCCCATCGCTCTGCGCAGCTCTCTGCCTGTCTGGATGGCTTCTTGCAAACCCCACTGGTCCACTCAGTCAAACCAGCCCAGGCCCAACCTTGCTGCTCCTCAGTGCCTTGAGCGAGCCAGCTTCACTTCGCAGCCTCCAGGCCCTCCTCCACAGACAGGGCCATCATACTCTTTACACCATTTCTCGAAAGGGCAAAGCTAGGTCACACGGATGAGAAAACACTTATTCTGAAAGAATGTTGTTCTTAGTAGTTTCAGAAACATCATTGTACAGTGATCATGGGGAAAATTAAAAATCCTGTTTGGCTTCCTTCCTCTTATCTTGGTTTCAGTTTTGGTTTTATTATGAGTTATGTGGGAGAAGGGGTTGTCTTCTCAGCCTGGGAGGCTCTAAAGAACTTTTAAAATCTTTTTATTTTTAAGTTTCTAATTGAAAGAAAAAAGCTACAAGAGGAATACATTGCACATTGTATATATTTACCCTACATCTATCACGTGCTAACATCTTACCACATCACGGCCTGTTCCCCTGAGTGTCTCAGTGTGTGTCTCCTGAGGAAAAGGATTTTTTTGATATGACTCCCAGATGAAGATCACGCTTGGGGGACTGAGTGATGCTATAACACTACTACCAAATGCACTGTGCATATCCAATCTTTGCCAATTGTCCCCAAAATGCCAGGGCCACAGCAGCCTTTAGTTCCCATCTTTTAAATCTCCTTTCAACCAGGGCGGTCCCTCAGCCTTGTCCTTCACGACACCAACACTACAGAAAGAGGTGCCCAGCTGATTAGCAGGTGTCCCTCAATTAAGGTTCAACTGAAATTTTCTCCTTGCAAATTTTCTCCTCAGTGAAGCTTTTTCTGCAGGAGGGCCACAGAGGCCATTTTGTGTCCTTCTCAGCACAACCTTTTGCTACGTGGGGATCGGTCCCAACAGGCGGGTGCCTGTTGCTGGATGGAGCCCGCCCCACTGCCTGGATCTGCCGGCGCCGGGGGTGGACTACAACTCCCAGAAGGGCCCGCGCTCTCCGCGGCCGCCGTCGGGGTCACTGGGCGCCGTCGTGTCACGTGACCACCGCCCGGGTCACATGGCTGCGGCGCGGGTCACGAGAACAAACACGGCCTCTGCGCTTCCCGGCCGGTCCTCAGCGGCGGGACATGGCCAACGTCTCCAAGAAGGTGTCGTGGTCTGGCC